CCCGGCCCGAGCCCAGCCCGGCCCGGCCCATGAATAGGTCTAATCGTGCCTACAGCCGCCACTCCAGTGTCCAAGTGTGTGTCATGGGTGGGTTATGCATGTACTTTTGTATGGGGGATTGCCAATAGCATTCGTGTAGTTACCTAGTATGATTTTTCATCCTTTTGATGTATCTTTATGTCACTCCCCCAAAAGCTTAACGTACTATTTGAGAGGAGGTAGGTAGTCGAGTGAATTAGTAGCGTGTAAAGGTTAAGCACGAGATCCCCTCGACACTGAACTGTGTGCTTGTGCTTGCCGCCTATTAATGCAATACAAGTAGCATTTTGCTAATTCGTGTGCCATCTTGTTGCCTTTTTGTGTGTGTTTGCTTTGATGCTTAGGCTTACTCGCCCCATTCAAGTGCCACACGGAGCCTCAACGATTACCCCCGTGACAACCTGGCGGCCTGGCACAAGCACCGATCTGGCGGCTTGCGAGATGTGCTCGTCGACGAATTCAGCATGCATATCCTAATACTCCCACGATCCTTGGAAGTTGGCCCACGTGCCGAACGATCCAAAGGGTTGTCAACGTGCATGGCGGTTACCTCCGAGAATGTCGGACCACTTAGATGACCTCGCGGAAATCTCGGATGCAGTGCGTGAAGCCCACGCCAAACAATGCCTATATAAAGGCACCAACCCCAATGGCCCACGCCAAACAAAGCTCGCCACTCTGGTCAGTTCGTCACCTAACCTGTCTAGCTCGGCCTAGTCAGCTCGTCACCTAACCTACCTAGCTCGGCCCAGTCAGTTCGGCACTTAACCTGCCCAGCTCGACCCAGTTAACTCGGCATCTAATCTGCCCCCAGCTCATAGCAAATGACAAGGTACTTAGCAAAAAAAATTGATACATCACCAAAAAATTGATTCATCAAAATCTATATAGAATTCCTCTAAAAAGAGGCATGAAAATGTCCAAAATACATATGCAATTATTTTTTACCAAAATGTTTATTTTCCATTTTTTCTCTTCATATGAATTGCTAGCCCAAACCTTTTTTGATCTCTTTTTTGAAATTGATTTATTTTCTAAATCTGCCCTTCATGTCAATCGCTCAAAGTAAAAATGCAATTTTAAAATTGGATAAATTAGAAAGACCCCCCTCTACTATGACCGTGCAATTTTGAAATATGCCACTACAATATTTGAGAGAAAACAATGTTCATCTTCCCTGACCTTACGATAGACGAACAGCAGCGGCATAATCCCTTCTACCTCAGATTTCGGTAACGTGACTAGAAGTGCAGGAGGTCGGACTGAGTTTGAGGACTACAGGAGCTTACCTTGTAAACAGGTCCAAATCCGCCCTGACCAAGCTTATTTTCTGATGAAAAGTTGTCTGTGGCGACTACAATGCTGGATAGACTGAATAGCTTTAATTCATGATCTTCCTTCGCATCTTCAACTTCAAGTAATAATTTCTCTTGGTTTGTTTCATTTTGTTATGCGGAATACAGAGAAAAATAAGATCTTGCTCGTCTTTTGACTAACACAGACTTTCTTCTTTTCTACTTTTAGATCGACTGTAAGAGGTTACCTCTTGATCTGAGACTTCTCCTCCTGAAGCAACAAAAGATGCCCAAACCCAACAGAGGAATCAGTACGCCGGCTACTATGGCAACGGTGTACAACAACCATCGCCTATCTTTTGATTCTTTTTCTGCATTGGAAATCAATTACTTTCTACAACCAAATTGTTGAAAATTGAAATAATGGATGATTCATAGAGTTACTTGGTGCTTACTGTTGGCTGTCAATTGTTGATCAAGAAACGAACCCAGAATATAGATAGGAATAGGACCCCAGGAGGATGATTCCCGAAAAGGAAAATCTCTGTTCTAAAGCTGGCATCCCGTCTCTTCGGCAAAATAAGTTTTGTAAGCTAAACAAGAACAATTGCTCCAGCACATGTCTGCACAATCTCTGAGCCTCAAGCTCGTATCCAAGGACGTGTAGCAAGATCCAGGTCCATCCATATACCCCTGTTTGGAATAGAACAACTCTCCTCTCCTGCACTCTGGTACCTTCTTTTCCACACACCTTTTCTTGTTTTCTCTGGAGTAGTTGTAGGGCAGATGGGTTGGACACAGAATGTTGAAACTATCATACTTGTAGTCGTTCCAGTTGTAGAATTTATATTGCCTGATGTTTCCTTCAGAATCCAGCACCCAAGACGACGAAGGAGAAGAATTTTGCTTTAGGGAGAAAGTGAAGTATCTCTCGTCCTCACTCCAGACGTAGCTGAAATTGTATGTGACATTGTCGGATGTCAACTCAGGCACGCTCTTGAAGCTTCGACCATCCCACACTCCGCTTTTCCAGTAAACATCCCGTTGACGCCAGGCCAGCAACTTGTTAGTACCCATTGGGTCCCCGCCCAGAGAGAAATCCCCCGACGAGAGGTCTTCATTGATCAGCCAAGAAGTTAGAGTCTAGTTATGTCCAGTCTTCGAGTAGTTTCATTCCGGGCAGAAGCGTGTCCGTGGGATAATCGAAGCTCTGCCACAATACCCGTGTTGCAGTTCCATTAGAATCGACCTCCCTCAGAACAAAATTTCCCGAGTCCAATAGAGTAGTTGTCACGTTACCGGCGGTCTGTTTGGAATATAACATAATAGCACTGCCTCCATTGTGTGTGATTTTCAATTTTCCGTCGCCGTCGGTTGTAAGAAGACCGGAGGAATCGGCAATTGGGGTATTTCGATTGGCAACCCAGACAACGGTCGCATCTCGAGCTTTGTTGTAGGAAACACCCAGGTAGCGGTTCCTTGAAGCGCCCGGGCTGAAAAATCACAGTCTGAAAATTCCACCTACACACTCCAAGTGATCGCAGTCCTAAACCCCTTCACCTTCTGTTATTATTGTGTCCCTTGTTGCTGCAACTGCGTCATGGGATGTTCTTAGAGCAAAACAGAGTGAAAAGGCGAGAAGGGAAAATTTGAATTTCCCATAGGTGTTGCTGCTTCTCTTGGTGAGGAGAGACATCGATAATCTATCAATCAACACACAGCAGTGATCAGCAGAGTAACTTGTAAATTAACGCGAGGGGAGTTACCGCCGTTACCGAAATCTGGGAATAGAACGGGGAAGATCAACAGTGTTTTTCTCCCAAATAATTATTATTATAAGGATAGTATGGGGATTAAAAAATATTACAATGGCAGGTTTTAACATAAAGGTAACGGAAGGGTCTCACGGGTCTTTGTCACAGGCCCCATAGTACAGGGGGGCCTTTGTAATTTATTCTTTAAAATTTTTATTATTTATAAAATTTATATTATTTTTTAGTAGAAGATAATCTTGATAGTAATTGCATGTGCATTTTGGATATTTTTGAGCCTTGAGTATTCTAACCAATCTTTTCAAAACCGGACCGGACGGTTGGATTAGAAAGCTGAAATCGGTTATATTCCTTTTACCTCAAAACTATTTTTTGGCCAAAAATAGTTGATTTGGTTAGTAAACCGCTGACCCGAGCAGTCGAACCATCAAACCGTTTGACCCAAAAAGGGTTTAGGCCACTTTTTTGTGTGTGTGTGTGTTTTTTGTCAAAATGAGCTATTCGTTTGGATCAGATGGTCATGCCGTTTGACCCACGAATCGGATCCAGAACGGTTCCCTGTAAGGTCCGGTTTAAAAACCTTAATTCTAATTAGACCTGTCCTGTTCATGGGTCGGGTAGCCCGATGGGCCAGTCCAACCCAATCGATCTAAGTCGGGCTTGGACAAGACTTCAGGCCCACGGGCTCGGGCTTTCTCAAAAAAGCCCGGCTTGTGCCCAAGCCCGACTTGACAATGTATTATATTAATAAAATATTTTATAAAAAACATATATATATTATTTTTCTTCTCTTTTTTCAAATAATAATGAGACTTTTCATTATTTTTTAGGTTTTCAGGTCTTTTAGTGTAAATAAAACAACTTTTAATTTAACTAAAGAGGAAATTTTTTTTTTTCCAAATTTTTACTTGGGCTTGAGTTCAAGCCCGAGCTTCAAGCTTTATAATTGGGTCGGGCTCAGGCTCAAGACCCAGGCCCGATGGTCGAGCCGGGCTCGGGTTCGAATCTGAATATTTTCTATTAATGTAGAGGCAAAGCTCGACCCGGCCCGGTCCGTTATCTAACGAAAGAGTATTACTTACATCTGTGTCAGAAAGTCCAGGAGCTGATTAGTTACCAAACTTTTGGGGGGGTTTCAGCAACGCTCAAAAACTCAAGGGTCATAGAGTCTATTAACTAAACTGAAAATCCATATGCTCCTCTACTAATAATGAGCTTATTAGTTATTACATTGATTAGGTCGTCTAAATAATTCTCTTTGAGGAATGTTGACCAAAAATTAAAGTTGACGTGGGTCAGAGGGAGGGGCCTGGGGTGGTGTGACCGTGCTCCTATTTTATGATTTTATCCGCCAAATAAGGAGAAGGGCGCACGTTAGTGTAGAGCCTAGAATTAATTATAAACAATGATTAATGAAGATCTCGTTTTTTGGGAAACCACAAACGCGAGATTTCAACGTTTGGAGGGAAGAAGTGTCATTCAACAAAGTGCGATGCGTTGCAATTGCAATAGAAGGTTGAACGCTAAATATGGAATAAGAGAGAGAGAGAGAGAGAGAGAGAAGGAAGGGAAAGCGACAGCGAGGGAGAACAAAAAGGGAAGGTTTGAATTTACTAGTATTTCCTTTTCCTTTGTTTTCTTCAATTTCAGAATTTTTTTTTTCAAATTGCTTCGCCATTACTGCTACAGTAATAACACCTGATCTCTCTGAATTTCTTCACTGCCATAATGCCATTATGCTCTCGATTTTAATGAACCGAACCCCCACCAAATAAGCGTTACCGGTAGCACGAATTCACGCCTTTGAATTCCCTTTACAGCCAGTGTGTAGGATCCCATAAGACGTTGAAGGGAAGATTGGCCTAAACAGAAAAACGCTCTAGGAGTGATAAGAGATCATCAAAGGTTAAGTGGGTCATTTTGGTTTTTGCGTTTTTGCAGGGCTTTAGATGCTGGTGGGATAGTAAATGGGGAGAATTTGAGAAGATTAGACATGGCTTTGCTCGATTTTTCTCGGTTTTGGTCTTGGTAGAGGGGACATCCAGTGCTGCAGGGCAAGAGTAAGCTTGGGTTCTTTTCAGAGGGAAACAGGGACGAAGTGGAGTTCTGAAGGCGATTAGAAATGGGTTTCTTTGGTACTATACTGGGTTTCTTCGGATTTTGTTTCGGGACTTCTATTGGGCTTGTGATTGGCTATTATTTTTTTATCTACTTCCAACCCACCGATGTTAAGGTCAGTTTTCTCCCTTTGCAATTTTTACTTTGAATTGAATTGAGTTTTCTGAATATGCTTCTTGTTGATCATTGTTCGTTGGTTCAATTGTTTTCACATGATGCTTCTTAGGTATGTATATTCGAATGGGAATGATAACATTTCACAAGATTGACAAGAAATTGAAATTGAACTTTTAATGGAACAATGGGTTCTGTAGTCTTTTTAGCTTTTGTTTTAAGCTTCGCTATGTTGCATTAGAGTTTTATGGCCCATTTTCTTATCGTTATGTGGATATGCAGAAGCTCTGCTTCTTGTAAGATGATTTGTTTCATCAATAATCAGTGTATGTCAGTTCCTTCTTTTTCCGATCAATAGATTCGCCTACTGGTGGATTGTTATCATTATTATTATGTATTTAATGGGACAGAGTGGTCGATAAGGAGCCAAAATAGGATGTGGATGTGGGAATTGGGACAGTGAAGCTGTGCTTGTTGGTTCTGTAGACTGTAGTGTTCTTACTAGAGTCATGGTCTGTCTTATTTGAGGAGAAACGGTTTTGTTTGAGGATAAGGGAGAAAGAAAAGTTGCATTACTGGATCCTGCTTTCAAGATTACAGACGCAGTTGCGGGTGCCAATATTGGAAGTTGGAACACAACTCTTCATTTCACAAAATCCAGAAGGATATGATGCCAAATATTTGACCAAAGAATCAAATAAACCATATATCCATTCATCACCACAGGCTATCCGATCATCTAACCTACCATTGCCAGTCTCGGATTGGTAAGCTGATGCTCTACTTCACCTGCAGATCTTGGGCCTGGGTTGGAGGGATAGTCATTAAGTTAAACAGATCATCCATCTGGTTCTACAGTGCATTTACCCATGCTCTTTTATTTCTCAGGTAAATAAGGTAATGATCATTTTAGTCATAAAAATCCATTATTAAAAGGGGCATTTTTGTTCTATTCAAGTGTTAGCAACTTTCCTCCTAAATGGGAAAGTTATTTACCCACCTAGGAGAGAATCTGAATCTCCTGCCCACACAAACTCTGCCTACATCTACCCACATAACATTGCAGCCACAAATGGAGAACATCTCATCCTCCTGCATAGTATTATGCAGGGAGAGATGTTCCGAATTCACGGGAGTAGTGTGTTGTGGGTAGACGTGAGCAGAGTTATCGTGGGTAGGAGATCCGGAGTCCCTAGGAGATGGGTATCACCCAGGAAAATAAACTTTCCCTGATCCCCACATTAATCTGAAAAATGAACATGGGATTCTTGGTCAATAGGAACCAAAATCCCATTTACCAACTTTCCCCCCTCTCAAAAACCAAAAAAGAACGCCCCCTAAAGCTAAAGTGATTGCCTTGCTGATCAGGCCCAGAATTGCCAAAAGAATGCAACCCCCATTACTTTTATTTTGCACTGAGAATGCTAATGCGACAAGTTGGGCCAATTGAGCATGTTCAGGCTCATGGCGATTGGCAGCCTGAGCTCTTTTGCTTCTACTTTGAGATGGATTTGAAGGGAGCAGAATTCTCTGGCAGATGATCTATCTAGGAGGGAGGTGAGGAGGATTTTTTATGGTGACATCTCTAGTCCTTCCTAATCTTTTGTTTGAGAATGGAGCTAAAGTAGTATACTTGTACGTTATTCACATTGTCTCGTGCACATCTTTTTATTTTTCTACTAATCAAATATCTTTTACTTCCTTAAAAATTAAAATAAAATAAAAGCAACGTCAAGCACCAAGAAAGTAATCTATGGCATATTAGGATACTAAATAGAATTCTATAAGCATTGTGTAATATTTCAGACTTCTTCTTGTTGGACCTTTCAGGTGTTGGTCATTTGAATATCTTGAGATAAATATGTATGAACTATGTTTAAATTGCATCTCTTTTTTATTTATAATTCATCATAAAATCATGCAATCATATAAAACAGATCCTGTTCAATCTCAATTGCAATTTAAATTGCAGTTGTTTTCTCCATTTCTTGTACTTGAATAATCTTAATGGTTTTTTGTTTCTTATTTTGATAGGATCAAATGTGTAATGGTTGGTCATTTGTCCTCATCTAGAATTTCAGCCTTTCACAGCCTAGGTGCTACCAAATGTGCTGTTTGAAGGTTCAAGGGAGAAATTGTTAGCATCTTCTGTCTATCATACTCTCATAAAATCACTATTGGCACACATAAAAAAAATCAATATTAACATTCCGTAATATGTTCCCTTAGGCTGTGTTTGGTTTGAAGGAAGATTTTGGTGGGATGGGATGAGAAAGGGAAAATAGGGGAAATTAATAATAATTATTAATTAATTAATTAGGTAATTAGTAATATTTTTGTTATTTTATATTTTATTAATTCATCATATAATTAATTCACATTGATAATTAATTAACTATTAACTAAGAGTTAATATTTTAATTTTTATTTAAAATTTATTTTGAATTAATTAATAGTTTTCATTTTATATTATTAATTATCTTACATTTTATCATTTATTTATTCATTAATTACTTAGATAATTAATTATTAACTATATTGTTGTTAATTATTATTTATTAATTAATTATTAACTAAATGCTTTTTATTATTTAGTATATTATTATTAATTATTTAAAATAATAATTAATTAAGTCATTATTATCATCAATTAATATTTTACTTTCTATTAGTGTATAATTTATTATTAATATTTTATTTTATGAATGCCTATGACACAATTAATGATTTTAATTTTTTAATATTAATTATTAATAAATTATTTTACATTTATTAAATAATTATTTTAATTTATTTTATGAATGTATTTTAAATAAATTATTATTAATAATAATATTTAATTATTCGTTAACTAGTTAATTAATTAATTATTAACTATTTTTTTGTTAATTATTAATTAGTTAATAATAATTTTATGATTTAATATTTTATTTTGAATTAATATTAATTATTAATTAGTATTAATAAATAAATAATTAATTATTATCATTAATTAATATTTTGAATTTATTAGTATATTTTATTAATACTTATGACTTAATTAATAAAATTAATTATTATTTTATATTTTATTAATTATTTTTAATTAAATTGTTTTATTAATATTATTAAATAATAATTAATGATTTATTAATGGGTCATTGGTTTAATATTAACTCTTAGAAATACTACGAGGAAGGTGTTTTTTCTTGTTAAACAAGTTCCCCCTCTAATACCACTTGTTTCCCATCAAAGTGGTGGTATTCCACATCTCAAGAATTGGGATCCCATCTCATGATATCCCACAAACCAGACATTCCCTTCCCATCCCACAAACCAGACATTCCCTTCCCATCCCACAAACTAAACGGAGCCTTAATGTCATTAGGCATTGGGGTATGTAAAGTCTTATTTCATCTGGGGAAGAACTGCAATTGGTAAGCTTAACTAGGGCAAAACATGAGTTACTGTTTGTTTATGTAAAGTCATTTTATCCCTAAATACTTGCTTTGTTTTTTTTTTGGGGGGGGGGGTGATAAACTTTTTGAGTGACAATATGAATATGACGGAGTTTGCTAGTTGTTACATACTATTTTTTATATTATTTAGTATATTATTATTAATTATTTAAAATTAATAATTACTTAAGTGATTATTTTACATTTATTAAATAATTATTTTAATTTATTTTATGAATGTATTTTAATTAAATCATTACTAATAAAAAAATATTTAATTATTCGTTAATTAATTATTTAATTAACTATTATCTATTTTGTTGTTAACTATTAATTAGTATTAATAATTAATTAATTATTATCATTAATTAATATTTTGAATTTATAATATTTTATTAATACTTATGACTTAATTAATAATTTGAATATTATATTCTGAAATATTAATTAATCATTAAAATATTTTTAATTGATTAATGCTTTTATTTATTATTTATTTTAATCTGTTTATTAATTTTTTTAATTAAATTGTTTTATTAATATTATTAAATAACTAATGATTTATTAATGGGTCATTGGTTTAATATTAACTCAGAAATACTACGAGGAAGGTGTTTTTTCTTGTTAAACAAGTTCCCCCTCTATTACCACTTGTTTCCCATCAAAGTGGTGGTATTCCACATCTTAAGAATTGGGATCCCATCTCATGATATCCCACAAACCAGACATGGGAAGGGAAGAATATTCCAGAATATTCCATATTTTCCCTTCCCATCCCACAAACTAAACGGAGCCTTAATGTCATCAGGCATTGGGGTATGTAAAGCCTTCTGGAGAAGAACTGCAATTGGTAAGCTTAGTTAGGGCAAAACCAAGGTTTAAAATTTCGATATGATATGCCCGATACGGGGCATATCATATCGTATCTTTGAAAAAGCGATGCAGGATATGCATGGAAATTGGACATTTCATCTTTTTTCATGCGTATCGGACCCGTATCGAGGCATATCGGGGGTGTATCGGGGCGTATCGGTAGCATATCGAAGAAAAAGATACGGCCAAAAACTGAAAAAAAAATTAAAGGGGGAAAGCAAGCTTCTTTTCCCCGAAATAAGCTTTCTTTCACCCCCAAATGACTCTAAAACTCCAAACTTCATTCCTAGAGTGCTAGATTTGCAAAAGTTTGCAAGAAACAAGTGTGAATCATTATTTTTTGAATATTTTTCAAATTTTGAAAAAAATATGGCAAAAATAGGTAAAGTTTTTTCAATCTTTAATTATATATTGTGATTTCTTTTTTTTTTCTTGAATGTTTAAATTTATGTTGATCTACATTTCTTACATTCAAAATCACATTTTTTTTTTTGTGTTATCAGTAGATTTATGGAAATTTCATGAAGATATTTGGGGAAATATAAATTAACAAAAAATTTGAAAATGTAATTTTTTCTCTACGTATAAAGACTAAATATGTTTTAGATCTATGGATTTATCTATCATATCCATAGAGCAATTGAAATTTCTTCTTTAATATTTTTTTTGATTTTTTATATTTTTACAATTA